TCTATCCCCCCTCCTGATTGGTCTTTTTCCCAAAACAGCTCCCCATTTACCATCATGTCTCCTCTTCCTCCTCCCTCTTCTGCTCCTCCTTCTGCTCCTTCCTCTCCTCCTCCCTCTCTCCTCTTTCTCCTCTTTCTTTGCCTTTTAGTTTTCATAAGCAAAACCATGCAGCATTGTCTCTCTAGCTCAGCTTCTCTTGCTGCATCTAACAATCCCCAGTTCCACCCACTTTCCCTCAACTGACCTCATTTTGTTCTTCTTTAATACTGAATACTCCTCCTTCGTGCAAGTAAATTACATTTGCATCACGATAGAGGGCTATTTTCTTGGGGAGGAGTACATACCTGCAGCCCACATCCAAAGCCCGCCACTGTGAGTGGTCTGTATGATGCTTCCCACCAGCCTTCCCCCCTCCATTCCCCAGCCTTCCTGACAGTAACTATTTCCCGCATCTTCTCCGATGTTGGCTATTTATTGGCATGATTTTCATTTTCCAGTCTGATGGAGAGACACTGAACAGGGCTGTTGGATTTGCTTTCCCGGGCGCTGGTGCGGCTGTGGTTATAGCTGTTCTCCGGAACAGTACTCATTCTTATCACTGGCCCATTTGTCTCTGGCTTGTTTGGGAACAGGAAGTGCTCCTTGGGTTTTCTTTGCAGTAATCCTTTGTTAGACAGGCGCTGCCAGTGTTTTCTGCCTGTCTGACTTTGATCCCAAGTCCTTCGTGAGGCCCCCGGGGCAGGGTCAGCAGCCGTGATATCTCTGTTCCAGGATGTTTACCACACGTCTCCCACTTGCACCCCGAAAGCTACCCTCTGCCTGGGGCCTGTGCTGTGCCCAGCATCCTGTGGAGGACGACAGAGGCACCCGCTGGTCCATCCTGGCCATGGCTTCTGCTTAGGGAAGCAGTGGGAAGCTATGTCTTGGTTAGGACATGTATTGAGCAGGACATTAGCCCAGGTCTGTCTGATCCAGATTCTCCAGCTGTCTCCCAGACCTTCTTGTGGATCAAACCATCCTTGCCTGAGCCCTGCTAGAATGTGTCATCTTAGAGACTCGTTCTATTCACTCATGCAATACACAAATGTCCATAGGGCACTTCCTCTGCAGGAGTTAGGGACACTGCGGGGAAATATGCAGCCAGCTCAACAGAGGGGCGAGTCTCACCAACTTGCTCATTTTGCTTTATTGTTGGCTCATTTGCTTACCACCACCTGTGGACAGGTGGGGTTGTAGGAAGGCCACACAGGAGTGGTACAGGGGTCAGCAGGAGGCCTCCTGCTTATGGCTGGGCTAGAAATGACACCATCAGTTGTCATGTGGGAACCTTGCGGGTAAGCAAGAAACGGAGTGGTTAAGGAATGAATCCAGTGATACCCACATCCCATCCACAGCCGACTCGGCCTGGCTCACCAGGGGTTAGTGACAGGCAGCATGCCAGCCCGCACACGCAGCATGCCAGCCCGCACACGCAGCACGCATGCAGTCCTCAAACTTCTGTACCTTCAGCACCATGGCATGTGGCCTATGTGCTCTCTGGAGAGCACAGGGTGCGTGGCCCAGTGTGTCTGTGTGAGGCCGGGTCCCAATGGTTCATGGGAAAGGCCACTCACGGTCCAGGGAAATGAGCAGGCAGCTAATTTTAACCACGAGCAGCAGAGTGACCTTGGTACGGGGCGTGGGGGTGGGGAAACTGCCACAGAGATGCCCCTAGATGGTACCCAGGCCCTCCCCGAAGTCCCGGGGCCGAGATGAGAGCGCCCTGTCACCGTCCCGCCTCCCTTCCTCCCGCCATGCTGTCAGCCCAGGACAGCCTCGCCCTCACCTCATCACTCCTCGGGATCCGCCTCAGACCCGTGGGGACTGGCTCCCGTCAGACCCTGTCAGCCTCCGCTGCCCAGGGAGCTGGGGCCGAGCTTTGGGTGGAAATGGGGAGGATGGGTCAGGGATGTGGAAGGGGAACAGAAGCCTGGCAGGCAGACCCCCCAGGTAGCCCTGGGGCAGGGGTCCTCTGACTAGGACTTGGCTTCCCAGCGTAAACTGGCGTCCTATCGCATGCACACTCCTGTGCAAAGTTAGGACGTCAGCTGCGGGGGTGTAGCTCCCTCGGAGGTAGGCACCCTGTGTCCACGTCAAAGGCAATGAGTCCGAGGCCCAGTGAGGGATCCCCGGATGCCACACAGGTCACAGGCAGAACCAAGAGGAAAAGGGGGCCCCAGCATGTCCTGTGGCTGCACTGGAGGGGAGCTGCCGAGGCCAAGGCCCCCACTTCCTGTGCTACCTGTGTGCCCAGAGCCTGGCTCCACCTCTTCCTGTTCACTGGCTGGAGGCGCTCAGGATGACCCGGGCAGGGCGGGGGGCGGGGGTACTCCGGCTGTGGAGCTGGCAGATGGCCTAGCTTCTGGGTCTTGGTTTTCCCATCCACAAAATGGGGCAGCACAGAACTGAGGCTGTCGCGTGCCTGAGGAGACCAAGCACAGTGATAAAGCGAGGTGTGGCTGTGAGCCTGGGCTGTTCCCATACCATCCCAGCAGCTTCTGAGGGTGAGGGCAGGTGGGCAGGTGGCGGGGCGAGGGTGGGCGGGGCAGCGCCGTGCCTGGGCTGCACATCTCCAGGGCCACACACGGGCCCGCAGGTCCCCCAGGGCCCACGGTGCTAGTTTCCCACTGTTGGTTTGCACCTACAATTTTTAACTCTGCCCCGTTATCTCCTGGCCACGCCCTCGGTCTATTTTCAGGTCTCCAGTGATGTCAGCAGAGCTGTAACTCTATGAGTCAGGCGGTCAGGGGTCAGTTCCGCTGCAACCAAGTCTGGCCACCTCACCTCTCCAGGGACGGTGACCCGGCCCAGAGTGAGAGTCCATTCATCCTGGTGGCCCGGTCCGTGCCAGGCGTTTCTCTTCCTGGCTTCCTTCCGCCACCCTTCCTGCACCCTCCCGTCACCCTCTAGGAAAGGTCTGCTTAGCCCCGTTCAAGGGATTGCCCCCGAGGGCGCCGGACAGACCACGAGGCTGTGCCCAGCTGGCCCTCCACGTAGGCCCGCGGAAGGAAGGCCTGGCTCGGGAAGACAGCCCCAAGGGCGACCAAAGTAAAGAAATGGGGTTATTATTACTGGCACAGACACCACGCGCCCCCCCCCCCCCCCCAAGCAAAACCAGACAAAAACAGAAAGCCACCGACATGGCAAGGACAGGGAGAAGCCAGAGCACATGTGCTGCTGCTGGAAGCGCAGAACCACCACCTCTCAAAGACCAAACCCGGAGCAGCGGCTGCTGGATCGAGACCCCACCCCACGTCACCAGCGGCATCACTCACAGCGGCTCCAACGCGGAAACAGATGAATAGACAGAATGTGGCATGTCCATGAACTGGAGCATTACTCATCATTGACAAAGGAATGGGGTTGTACCATAGGCCACAACATGATGAACCCCGAGGTCACATGGGATAAGGCATGGTCCAAGAGACACATAGTACAGGATTCTGCACATAGGAGGGGTCTGGACACTCAGATCCTAGCAATAGGCAGTAAGTAGGACCGGTCAGTGGGGGTTAGGGAGGGAGAGTTAGTGTTAACAGTGGCAGAGTTTCAGTCGGAAAAGATGAAAATATTCTGGATGGATGGTGTTGGCCATACTTAACACTACTCAATGCACACTTAGAGCTTGATTGGTTTTATGGTGTGTATATTCTACATGAAATCTCAAGCAGGGTGCCAGAAGCTCGTGCCTGCCATCCCAACCATGAGGGAGGCTGAGATTGTGAAGATCATGGTTCTGTCGTTCTAGGCCAGCCTGCGTGAAAACGTTCACAAGGCTTCATCTTAATAGAAAACAACAACTACCACCAAGCTGTGTGTAGTGGCTCATGACATCATCCCAGCGATTTACACTTCCTGGAGTGTAATAATAGGTGGACCGCAGGCCAGTATGCCCTGAGCCAAAAGCCAAAGTCTGTCTCAAAATCTTGAATGCAAAAAAGGCTGGAGTTGGGGCTCAAGGTGTAGAGCACATGCAAAACAAGTACAGAGCCCCGACATTAAAAAAACGAACAAACAAAAAAAACCTACCAAAACCAAGACATAAAAAGAAACTAGGGGCCCAGGGAAGCTCGAGCCCGGGACTCTATCAGAACCTGAAGGAATCTGTGTTGGGAGATTCCATACGACACATCACTAACGGCAGACCTTTTGAGAGAGTTGGCATTTTGATATGTGAGTTTGCTGATGGCTGGCCCAGAAGTGGGTGAACAGGCGGCATTTTGAGGTTAGGGGAAGACTGTGCACAATGAGGTCACAGTGGTACCTAGGGCAGCGCACCTCGCACCTCACCCAGGGCACGGAGCACACAGCTCACGGTGCACACAGCAAGCTCGTTAATGGCCCTCACCACGGCTGGATCTCAGAAAGGGCATCAGTCAGGAGGGAAGATGATGACAAGTTTGGCAATTCTGCCTTTTTTTTACTGCTTAAAAAATGCCTTTTTAAAGCAAGGTGAAACCAGACACATGAAGGGCATGTCTGGGATTCGTGGGGCGCTTTGGCCCTCCGGTGCTTGGCTTCATCATGGGTCTGGTGGCTGCGTCTCTGACCCTGGCACCCTTTCTCCTTACCCAGCAGGCCCCATGTTGCCAAGGATGTGTGGGGTGAGGGCGCCCTCTGCAGGCCCTGGAGGAAGTGACGGCTGGGTCTGCCGTAGCCCAGAGCTCACGTGGAATATGCCACCAGTAACCACGTGGACAAAGGTCAGCCGGGCAACTTTATTGTCTGAAAGTCCAGGTGCTGCGGGGTGGCCTAGGTCAGAAGGCCTGGCTCTGAGCCAGGGGGCAGAATGCAGATCAGGGTGGACCGTGCTATGAGGGCCGGTCCCGCCGCCTGCCCATCTCTGGACAGCGGCACCAGCCCTGCGCCCTGCACGGCCACAGTGGTCAGGTGAGCGCTGCGCACCAACACACTTGTAGACAAGAAGGTGAAGTACGAACGCCCCGCTGCCCCTTTGACCCGTGGAGGACTCACAGCCGCGGCTGCTGAGTGGGAAGCGCCTGGCGAGCACCACCCCGGCTGCCCGCAGCCAGGCTGGCCCCGGGGCGGCGGGCGGCGGCTAGGGCTGCAGCTCGTACTGGCCCTCCGTGGCCGTGTAGAAGTCCTCCAGCACCGACTGCAGGAACTCGAAGGTCGGCCGCTCCTCCGGCCGGCTGCGCCAGCACTCGGAGATGACGTTGCGGTACAGTTCCGGGGGACACGTGTCTGGGCGCGGCATGCGGTAGCCCCGCTCCAGGCTGCGGATGACCTCCGGGTTGCTCATGCCTGAGGGGGACAGACAGGGGCGTGGGAGGGGCAGGAAGGACAGCCGGAGGGAGGGGAGAGGCTTACAGGCGCAGATGCCCTGGCTTGCCTGGCTCTCCCCTCTCTTTCTCTCTCTCTCCTTTTGTGCCTGTACTGGGGCTTGAACTCAGGGCCTCATGCTCTGGCGTGGCTTTTGGGCTCAAGGCTGGTGCTCTGCCATCGGAGGAGCCACATCTCCACTTTCAGCTTTTTGCTGGTTTATTGGAGTCATCATGGACTTTTTTTTTTTTTAACCATCATGAACTTTTCTGTCCTGGCTGGCTTCAGACCTCAATTTCCTCAGCCTCCGAGTAGCTAGGATTACAAGCATGAGCCACCAGCACTCAGCCTTCTCTCTTTCTGTGAGATAGGGTCTCATCATGTAGTCTAGGCTGTCCTCCACATCAAACTCTTCCTGCCTCAGCTCCCGGAGTGCTGGGATTACAGACAGCATCACCAAGGGTCCTCTATTTGCTTTCTATTGTTTGGCGCAAGCCGGGCGCAAGCCGTGGTCTTTCCAGAGGCGGCTCCTCAAGGGCACCCTACCTTGTTGCCTCCAATGGCCAGGCACCTGGTGAGCCTCAGACGCCCCCAAACTCAGCCCTCCCCTTCAGACATGGGCTGGCAGGATCTGTGCCATGGGGACAGGCTTTGGGGAGATCCTGGGTGCAGGGCCCAGGCGACCTGTCCACTACTGAGACAAACCACAGGAGTGGACTTGCGTTCGGACCTGACCTTCGCCTCGATGGTGGCTTTGGGGGCTCCTTTGCCCTCTCTGGAGGAAGGGGCGCAGCGCAACGCTGGCGAAGGGCAGAACCCCACAATCCAAGCCTGTGTCTGGGTCTCTCTCTCTGCTTTTGATCCCCACTCTGTGCCTGGCGGCGGTCTCAGGCTCCAAGAACGGGGTGTCCCTCGGGCATGCAGGGGCGCAGGGGCGGGGAGGGGGGCCCGCAGGCGGCGGCCGCCTACCTGGGTAGGGTACACGGCCGTAGGTGACCAGCTCCATGAGGAGGACTCCGAAGGACCACACGTCCGCCTTGATGGTGAACACCCCAAAGTGGAGGGCCTCGGGCGCCGTCCACTTGATGGGGAACTTGGCTCCTGAGAGAAAAGAATCCCAGCAGCTCCAAGGGGTGCATGGCTGACCCCCCCCAGCCACCCCTCCTGCCCCTTCCTCGGCCCCATGGCTGGCCACTGGACCCAGTGAGGCACATCTAGAGCCATGAGGACCTGAGGCCAGGGGCTGGGTGAGTGGGGCCCTTGGGTTGGGGGCGCCACTCCCCCTATCCTTAGGGATCCTTCCCAGGATGAGGATAAGTTCAGAGAGGCTTTGGGGAGCCAGGAGGGAGGCGGGGAGGGGGAGGGAGGAGGCGGGCAGGACAAGGCTGGGGGACTCTGCTCACCCTCTTGGGCTGTGTATTCACTATCCACGATCCGGGCCAGCCCGAAGTCTCCAATTTTGCAGCACAAAGTCTCAGACACCAGGATGTTGGCTGCCCGCAGGTCGCGATGGATGGAATTCATGTGTTCAATGTACGCCATTCCTTCGGCAATCTGCGGGGACAGATTCCTCTCCAGGGGAGGGCAGGGACAGCGCCGGCCCGCCTCTGCGCACAGCCCTGTGGGAGAGGCAGCCCTGCCTGCCCTCAGTCAGCCTGGGTGCAGCCTGCCGTCCTCTGGCAAGGCTGCGGGGCGCAGGGAGGTGGTGCATGCACACACGGGTGCATGCTGTGGGGAGCGTTCTCTCTTCCCCAGCACGCCTCCTGCCCTCCCTCCCAGACAGCTGTCTCCAAGAGGCTGTAAGCAGCCATAGCAGAAGGATGCTTGGAGGCGAAGATGGCCCTCAAGAGAGGGAGGGGGAGGAAAAGGGAGCTGGGCTTTGCCTGGGACACCCGGTGTCCAGCAAGCCCTGTCACCTCCCTCAGAGGTCACGCTCTGACTTGAGCAAGACACAGAGTGAGGGCGAGCATTAGAAGAAGCACAAGGTCCTGAGTGCAAACCCCAGCACCACCAGGAGGAGGAAGAGAAGGAGGAGGGGACAAGGGAGGAAGAAGAAGAGGAGAAGGGGAAGGAGAGGAGGAGGAGAAGGGGAAGGAGGGGAGGAGGAGGAGGAGGAAAAAGGGCAGCAGGAGGCGGCGGCGGCTGCTTGTGGATGAGGCCCTAACCCTGCACCTGCTCTGGGCACTCAGGAAGTGAGAGCAGAATCCAGGGAAGCAGAGGTGCACAGCAAGGGAGCTTCCCCTCCCCCCCCCCATCCAGCGTCTGGCTAGGCCAGCTGTGTGGCGTGGCGAGAGCCCCACCCCGAGCCGCGCCCAGCCTCAGCCACCTGTTTCCACTTGCAGCAGTGTCTGCAGCATGCACTTATGTTATTCCCTTGCTAAAGCGGCGAGTGCAGGACGCCGACACCTTCTGGGCGGCGTTCGTAGTACCCAGCTCATCACCTACTACTTGTTGACCAGTACTGGAAACGCACCCCAAGCCCAGATGGGTGGGCCCAGACCTGTTTCCACAGAGAAGCCGCCGCTGCGGGTGCCACCAGGCGGTGGGGGCTCAGAGCTCTCTGCAGTCAAGCTGCCTCCTGGAGCTGAAGAAACTAAGCCGCAATCACCAGTGATGGGGGAGAAACTGAGGCTAAGACAGAGCACCAACTGTCTTGCTTCCATGTAGGAAACGTTAGTAGAAATGGCTGTGACTCGGTCCTGCTGACAGGGCCATCAGGAAGGAAGCAGAGGCCCTCTGGTTACCGGGTGTGGCACGTATGCCTGGTGTGTATGTGCACCTGCTCGTGTAAGTGCACACGTGCGCAGAGGCCAGCGCCTGGCTTAGAAGTTGTCCTCAGGGAGGGGCTGGCTCTTCCAGCTCTCAAACCCTGGTGTCTGAGCGCATGGAGGTCTGGAGCCCACGGCCCTTGCAGACTTTGCCCCTGGGCAATCCAAGCGTTGCAGCCAGGACTGCGAAAGCCAGGGGCAGGGCGAGGGGAGGAAGAGGAAGACGGCGCAGACGGGCTGTTAGAAACCAGGCACCAGCGCCAATTTTCCACGTCCATCTCACTGGCTGCCTTAGAGGTGCCTGCTCACCGCAGTGGAAAAATCTGTGCCTCCGTTCCTGCCATGCTAGCAGTGGCAGATAACTGTGGTTAGGGTGCAGCGAGGTGATCCCTCCCCAGCAGTGTGTGTGTGTGTGTGTGTCACAGGCTGACCGCAGACCACAGCTTTCCCGCTGAGAGCTATAGGTTTTAACAGACACACCCCAGGGCCACCAGATGCTACATCAGCACCGTCCGCTGACGTCTCCCGGGGAGGAAGGAGCCCGCCCCTTCATTCTGCTCTCCCACAGAGTCTAGCACGTTCTGGATGTGACCCAAAGGGACACAGAGGGCCGCTCCGGGCCGCGGAGAGGGCCTGGAACCTTGAGATTCCCTGAGGGCAGAACTGCCCCAGAACTTCTCAGCGTAGGAGTGTCCCCGCACTCTATGCGGCTCATGTGGCCGAGCCAATCCCAGGGTGGCACCCGGACCTGGGACTGGTGACACAAGGCCAGTGTTTTTATAGCCGCCTCGTACAGAAGGTGGCATACACGGCCATCATACCTCTCCTGGGCTCTCACAGCACCACTGCCCTCCCCTCCTCCCCTCCTCCCTTCCTCTCTCCAATGAAAGCATTCTCATCTGTCATGGCTGCCCAGAGTCGGGACTACATTTCCCAGAATCCCTAGCAGCGGCTGATCCAGGGGGCATGTAGCCAGGTCAAAGAGATGTCTCCAGAGGGAGGAAGTAGCCTGTTCTGGAGGTGTCCATGCAACCATCTTGAACAGCAAGCCGCCGTGCTAAGATTCCCTGCAGGCAGAAGAAACTCAGGGGTGGAGGCTCCTACCTGCCCGGCCTGTCCGGCTCTGGACATTGACACAGTCACACCGTCAGGGTTTCTGGGTCTCACAGTCTTGCCTGGGTCTAACCCACCCCAGGGGACGCCGTGACCCGCAGGGGGCACGGGGGGGGGGCAGCCCTCCCTCCAGGAGCCCTCAGTGCGTGCGCCTTCACCAACCTGGGCCGACATGTCGATAAGTCTTGGGATGGACAGCCTGCCTCCTTCCTCTGTCTTCAGGAAGTCCAGCAGGCATCCTAGGGAAAGACAGTGCAGCTGCGCCCCGGGCCTCGCGGGCCTTGGAGCGAAGCCCCTAGCCACCCAGAAATGAAGTCTCAGCCAGGTCTGGGGACCACGGGAGGAGGGAACTGGCTCTGCATTTGGCACTATTTCCCGAAAGGGCATTTCCACGTGTGATTAGCTCAGCCATCTTCCCTGGCAGAGACTGACGGGGGACAGCCCCAGAGCAAGAAAACACCAGGACAGGGAGACCTGGAGTGGGGACAGAGGGAGCTGCTCCTCCTGCTCAGCTGAGGAGATTACCCATCATGCAGTTCACCCGCACACTGCTAGCCAAGGTGCAGCCCCTGGCCCGGGTGGCGTCCCCTGGCCCGGGCTGCCACGCCAGCCCCCTCAGCCACACTTAGTTGGCACAGCCATGTTAAGGCCAGAGGAAGCAATATGGCATCTGGGTGATGGGAGGTCAGGAGGAGGTGATAGAGGCTAGGGCCTGGACCCCGGTCTGCGGGTCACGAGGACACCTGTGCCCAGCCCGGTGTGTTCACACCACTGTGCGTGGACCGGTGGCCGGGAAGGGCTGGAGCTGGAAGCAGAGCCACCTGTGGATATCCAGCCTGCGTGCTCCTCCCACCGCCCCCCTCCCCTGCCCAGCATAGCCAATCAGGTGCTTCTGAGTCTCCAGGAGCTCCGGAAGTGGAAGCATGGGCTACACTGCCCCTGCGACTGTGAGAACCACTCCGCCCTTTCCCTCCTCCCTCTTCTCCACGCACCCGCATGTCCAAAAGCAGCGGGACACAGCTAGTCCAGCTCCTGGCCAGGCAAGCCCAGGGCCCGAGCCCAGGGAGGGAGGGAGGGGGAGGGAGGGGGCCCACCTCTGGCCATGTACTCCGTGACGATGTATATGGGCTCCCTGGTGACCACGGCGTAGAGCCGCACCAGCCTCTTGTGCTGCAGCGTTTTCATGAGGTTGGCCTCGCCCAGGAAGGCTTCCGAGGACATGGTTCCCTCCTTCAGCGTCTTCACGGCCACCTTTATGTTGTTTTTGTAGTAACCTGGGCCCGTAGGAGCAGAGAAGATGGACAGCCCTGGCTTGGCTGGCGAGGACTGCCGGCACGGCTTCCCTGGCCAGCCCTGCTCCCGGGCTGGGGCACCGGTCGCACCTCGTGAAGGCACAAGCCCGCCCGGGCAGCCCCCTGCCATTCCCAGCCTCCAGCGGGCCAGGCTTGGCCCTGTCTGGGGAAGGTGTGGCCCAGATCCGGCTCTGCGTGGAGACCCAGCAGCTCCTGCCCGAGGCCGGATGGAGACCCAGCTCCAGGGCTGAGGCCCAGAGCCGTGGGTGGAAGCGCCGGCCAAGCAGGAGCTGTGGTCAGCGACAGGGGCGATGGGAAGGTGCTGGGACCACCGGACACCGGCTGCCACAGCCCCACACCAGGGCGGCGGCCTTTGTCCAGCCAGCACCCGGCCAGGATTGGGCTGGGAGGGCTGGATTCTCTTTCCCTCCACCATCAAGGAACTCTAACCACCGCGGGCCAGTCCCTTCTCAGCTGGGGCCTCAGGCCCTCAGGGCCTCTCGTGATGGTCTCTCGGCCTCTCCCCTCACCAGGCTTCCTGGGGAGTCCGGTTCCCTGTGATCCACACTGTGCCATCTGCTCCCCCCACCCCCAGGATGTAGGGCGGGGAAAGGGGCCGCCCCAACTCACCCATCCAGACCTCTCCAAACTGCCCAGACCCGAGTTTGCGGACTAGCTTGAGTGACTGCCGGGGGATTTCCCACTCGTCCTGCGCCCAGGGGTTCTGGGGGGCCAAGGCCACACAGGGCAGCGCCAGCTGCTGGCACAGCCCATCCCCCTTCTCTGCAGCAGGAAAGAAGAGAGTGGGGTGCAGGGCAGGGCGTCACTGGGAGCCACCCGAGTCCCCACGGTGTCCCCTTGCTCCCTGGAACGTGATGTGTGTCCCCCACCACGTGTGTGTGTGTGCGCGCACGCGCACTGTGTGTGTGTGTGCACACTGTGTGTGTGTGTGTGTGTGTACACTGTGTGTGTGTGTGTGTGTGCGCGCGCGCACACACTGTGTGTGTGTGCACACTGTGTGTGTGTGTGTGTGCACTGTGTGTGTGTGTGTGTGTGTGCGCGCGCGCACACACAGAGTAGGGCAGCATGCCTAAGAGTGAAAACGTGTCTTTCTCCTCATGGCTGAGCCAGTAGAGGGCGCTGCATCATTCAATCTTGGAGGTGACCAATCCCTGAGGCCTGGCTTCAGTCTGCCTCCCTCCTCCCACTCCCAAACTGTCCATAAGTTAATAGAGATGGGGGGGTCCTCTTGCATAAACCCCACCCACCACAGGCACCCCTCTTACTGGAGTAGTGCTGCACCAGGGCTTGGAGGGAGGGGAAGGTGATCCTGGGGGAGATGTAATAGCCCCCTTCGTCCAGCGAGCGGATCTTATAGTGCTTGACCACCTCCCCCTGGGAGCTCACGTCCTTCACAGACAGGGAAAAGGCACCTAGAGGGTTAACAAGATAAAGGCCCCGAGGCGAAGGAAACACGAGGGAGTTCAGGAAAGTCTGTGCTCCATTTCCATGGCTTCCAGCAGAACCTCCGTCTTCCTTCATCAGAACCTCGGAGCAGTGGGACAGCCCGGCTCACCCCAGCCTCCACCCCACCGCCAGACCATGTGGCAACCATTTGCCACGGAACACGGAGAATGGGGACTCCTCAAGGAGCCTCTGAACCCCACCCCAGTGTCCTTGGTAGCGGGGTGAGAAATTTCCCAGGAGTCTGTTCAATTTCACCGCTGCTTGTCTATGTATTTGTCATCCGTCCCCTGGCTTCTCCACACACAGCAGGTAGCAGATGCCGTGGATCAAGAACAAGTTAGGTTAAAAAAAATGCCAGCTAAAACCTCCTTTCCTTGGACGTGTCTTTGAAAAGCGCCCCTTGCTCCCAGAGTCTGTCTGAGAGAGGAGGTGAGGTCCCGGCCAGTCCCCGGGGCTCCTCCTGCTGTTCTCCCCAGCGGCCACCAGGGGTCAGTATTGGACACATCGTTCTCCACCATTCCCTGAAGCGCTGCCCTTCTCCCCGGTCACAACCACCACTGATCTCAGACTTCTTCCCACTGACCAGCCTTTCCTTCACCACCTCCCTGCAAAAGGAGGCCGAGAGGCCAGAGGCTGGGGCTACCCCTCCCGCCTCCCTGGTGCCCACTGTGGCCCCAGGACCCATCTCCTCACACACTGCAGTGTGTGTGGGGGGGGAGAAATCCTTATCACAAGCCAAGGATCCCTGGCTCTCCTCCACTAGGCAAAGCTCATGCCTTGGGGTCCTCTCCCCCACCACACTGCCCCTGTGAGGACTACAACCAATCAGCACTGTTTTGTTTTTCCTTTTGCACTGGTTGTTTCTGGATGGAGTCTCGCTTCCTGCCCAGGTGGGCCTGCCAGTTGTGTTTCCCAGCTAGCCGGGGTGACAGGCTCCCCCCCAGCTAGTGGAAAAGGCCGGATCTCACAAATAGACCCAGGAAGCCTATAAACCTTAATCCTCCTGACCTCGGCCTCCCAGCTCGCCAGGATGACACGTTTCAGCCACCAGCACCCGGCCTGGGTACTTTTCTTAGCGAGACTCTCTCCACCCAAGCCAGGAGGAAGACCGGGAGGAAGCTGCTGCTTCTCGTCCCACAGCAAGGCCCTGCAGGGCCTCCAGCGCCCACCGGGCCAGCAAGGGGACACAGCTCACCTTTACTGGTCTCGCTCTCCCGGATGAGGAAGGAGCCGGCCTTGTTCATGGGTGCCAGCAGCTGCCTCTCCGCCTCTTTCCGGCTGATAGTCCTGAAGAACCACCTGCAAAACAGCACAGGCAGAGCGCCATGCCAGGGGCAGCCCTCTCCCCCCAGAGAACAGTTCCAAAGCTGACCCCGAGGCTGCGCCTCGTCTTGTCCCGCAATCTCCTCCTGTCTGCCTTCCTAGCTCTTTTCCTGAAACTGGCCTAGAGCATTGTCTGGGTGACTCTAATACGGTCGCTTTGCAAAGATGCACAGGATCCCGCCCTCTCTGATGCTCTGGCTGCTGCCATCCCAAACCCGCCCGGCCTCCCAGTGCTGAGTGAGTGAACTCGCCCGGGAGCTGGGAGCCTGGAGTCCTGCCGTCCTGCCCCCCGGGCTGCTCAGGGTGGAGGTGCCCACGCTCCCGCTCACCCGTCTCGAGAAAGGCCCAGCGCCCAGGGTGGCAGGCAAGAGGGAGGAGCTGCCTGCCACCTGCTGTAACTCCTGCCCCAGCCACGGGCCGCATGACGCAGGCCCAGACCCAGGGCGCTAACGATGCCTCCTGGAAGCTGGTGGCGGGGTGCTGGGAACCCCGCTGGGTCCAGTTCCAACCCGAGTCCATCCCTGGAGACTACAGGGCGTGGTGACTGGTGCTGGCCTGCACCCCCCCGGTGTCCGCCTGCGCGTCGCACACCACTGGTGGCACTGGGGAAGCTCCATTGAGAGAGCCAGGGACGGCAGCTCTGGCTCTATTGTTTGTGTCGTGCCGTATTAGGGCTCGAACCCAGGGCCTCTCACTTTTGCCCAGCTTTTTCACTGAAGGCTGACCCTCTACCACTTGAGCCACACCTCCTTGTTCTGCTTTTTGCTGATTAATTGAAGGTAAATTGTCTCTTGGGTTTATCTGTCTGGGCTGGCTTTAAACCCTGATCCTCAGCTCCCGGCCTCCTAAGTAGCTGGGGTGACCGACAGGGTGAGCCACCGGCGCCTGGCCGGTTCTTGCTTTAGAGGGGAGGAGTAAGTTCCTCGGGAAGCAAGACTCCAATGCAGAGGTGCTGGGGACGGGCGGAGGCCAGCCCCTTCCCCTGCCCTCCGAAGTCTCGTCCGGAGCCTCAAGCCCCCCACTAGCCCCAGGTCTAGCACTGCCCCCTGCCCTGAACTCTCAGGGAGAAGCCGCCACCACTCCTCTGGTTCAAGGCTGCTGTGTCCATGGACTTACTTCTCCACTTCCAGGGACTCTACGGCGGCCACAAAGTTGCTGGGCACGAGGCCTTCTCTTCCCGTGACAAGCGACTTGGCCAGCCACCACTCTCCGGTTCTGAGGGGAGAGGGAAAGGGAAAGAACTCAGCAGAGGTCCGCACGCCCCGTCCCCCGTCACCACGCTGTGTGTGCAGCTTGGGGTGAGGCGACCACTAGACTTCCCTGTGCAGGGAGGAAGGATGGCGCCCCCTGCAGGAGAGAGCTTGCCCAGACAGCCTGAGTGCCCCAGCAGGCCCGGTGTAGATGAATCTAAGGACTGGGTTGGGACTGGCTGCAGAAGGAGAAGCCATTGTCCGTGGCAAAACCCAGGAACAAGCCCTCCCCTCCCCCCCCCTCCGCAGAACAAGCCTTCCAGGACTGAGAGCAGACATGGTTGGGGGGAAATCTGCAGCATCGTGTCTCCAGAGGGCGACACAACTGACTCGGGTGCAAAGATCTCCCCGGGGACATCCAGGAAAGCACCGGGTGAACCCCAAGGGGGGCCTACAGGCCTGAGGAAACCAGGAGGGATGTATGGAGGAGGCTATGTGTGGCATGGGCTCTGAAGGATGTATAGGAGTTTAATAGCAAGCGGCAGAAAGAAGATGCCGAGCAGCTAGGAAAGGGACGAGGTAACTGAGGGACAGGCGGGCAGCCATGGAGGGCGTGGGGGGGGTCGGGGGGGCGGGGGGGAGGGAGGGTTGAGAGGGGGCGGCATTCAGGAAACTTACTCCTTCAAGACCTGCAGCTTCTCCCCCTTCACCATCTGCAGGTCCCGGTCATTCACCCCCTCGTAGTCATACAAGGCCTCCACAAAACGCTCCTCTGGAAGAACCAACAAGACATGCTGCCACCTGGGCTAGGGGTGGGGTCTGGGGAGGGGCGTGGGGACAGGGAAGACCTGGCAGGCTAGAGGGGACATTCTCATCCCGGAGGAGGCCTCAGGCCTGCAGCCTGCCCAGCCACGGGCCGCCCCATAGCCCAGCCGGCTTCCCTCTGAGCCCACTAAATCCCCAGCCAGCACAGTCCCCAGGCCGGCCACAGGAGGCAGCCGTGAGCTCCCCAGCGTGCTGCGCACCCAACCCCGGAGCCAGTGTTGGCTGACCCCTCATCCCACCCGCCCGCCCCCTCAGAGCACAGGCGCCGCGTCCTGGGGCCCGCAGCTCCACAGCCAGCGGCTGGCCGGCAGCACTGGCCAGCACCCCCGGCTACTCCTGGGAGGCTGCTGAACAGTGGCAGGAAGAGGCCCGGATGCCCCAGGCTGCCCCCCGCAGGGGGCCAGGCCCCGCAGCCTGGCCCGGTCTCCTGCAGGAGCCTGCATGTCCCGCACATGACATCCTTGGAGCGGGTGACAGGGCTCCCCGTGTACGGGACGTGAGTCCGTGAGCCAAGGCTGGGTGGATTTCCCTTTCCCGAGCCTCCTTTCTGGAGATGTGAACCCCTCCACACGAAAGCGGGGAGGAAGGGGTCCCCGGCAGGTTAAGGGACACAGAGACACGCTGGCCAGTTCCAGCACGGCTGGGGAGGGGGAGCAGCGGAGCTCCTCAGGACAGGCCCTGCTGTCACCACCTCACACCTGATCCCTTCTGCCTGCCCAGCCGGCCCTGCCCTGCCCCGCCCTGCCTGGGCCTCCGACCCAGAGGGCCTTGTTCACGCATGCCCTCAGCCCTGCAGTCCTGATGTCAGAGTGGAAGTGGAGTTAGGGAGGAGGAGGGAGGAGGAGGGGGTAGGGGGAGGAGGAGGGAGGCAGGAGGAGGAGGGAAGGCAGGAGGTGGCCTGGGAGTGGAGACAGGCCGGCACTCCCTGCAAGCCCCCCTCACCCCCCCCCAGGGAGGGAAGGTCGGTGCCATCCCCTCTGAAGTTGGGGCCCGAACCGCTGTCTGTACTTCCTGCAGCTCTTTGCTTTCATCCATACTTTGCAGGCATTTGTTGTTCCCATGCCCTGGCTCAGGCTCAAGACAAGAGGCCAGCCTGGTCTCTGGACAGCCCTGCAGGGGGGAGGTGGGCGGGGCGCGCTCTCTGCCCCGCAGAGCCTCCCCTCCCCATCCAGGAGGACCCCCCCCCCATCAGGCTGCTGTCTCCTGCATGGAGTTGGGCTCCCGGAGCCTCTTACCTCGGTCTGCGTGCTGGTCCGGGGGTGGAGGGGTGAGGTGGTTAAAGATGACCTGAGGCAGAAACAGAGTCCGTTCAGCAGCTGCGGGGTGCACAGGCCGGGCGGGGAGCAGCTGCGGGGTGCACAGGGCCGGGGACCCCGGACTGCGAGGGCCCGACCAGCTGCGGGACACAAGCCGGGCCAGCCCCAGAGGAAGCCCAGACACCCGGCACCTTTGCTCTGACCTGAGTGGAGATGCCCCCGGCCTTAAGGTGGGGGGGGGGGAAATCCCAGCTCTGCCTGTCAAAGATGACTTTTTAAAGAGTATTTAAGGTGTGTTTTCCTAAAACCAGAGCCCGGTGGGTACGGCTCTGCATCCACAGACCAGGGAACACGGCAAGAACAGCCAGCAACAGTCACTGACGGATAGATGATTTTACAACGTAGAAATAAGTCCAGGGGGCCCGTGGCGGGACACACACTGAGTGGCCGGGCGGTGACATGGACGCCGCCTCGCTGTGCACCACGCTGAGCTGGAACCACGGCTCAGAGCCCAAGCGCGACTCAGCGATGCACAGTCTACAGCGTGGACCCCAGAACCACGGTACCGAGGGGATGTGTGTCTCGGAGGGAGCACAGAAAGGCCCAGTGAGGAATGATGAACACATTTAGGGGGGCAGGGGACAGACGGGGGCAGACAGACTCTAGGACGTCATCCGCTCTGTGTTTGGATACAAGAGGTGATTGCTTGTGTTTTATTGTGCTTCTTTTCCTCCAGCGTGGACATTTGCGTTATGGGCATTCTTTGCTATCCCACACTTATTGAACAGATTTGAAGTAGACGTCTGCACGGTGTGCAGCTGCTCTAGGAACGCGTGATAAAAAAGAACGCGCAGGAAGCGGGGCTGGAGCAGCAGCTCTGACTCCAGGGGTCTCTGGGAAGCGAAATCATGAAATTGGATCCGTTTGTCCCTAAGATCCTTCATTCATTCCTTCAACAAACATCTCGTGTGCCAAGCACGGGCCTATGCTGGGCTGCCGCTGGGTGAGAGACCTGGCTCAGCTCTAAAATGGGACCAGCCGTCTTCATCCCTTCTCCAATGAAACCATGGCGTCCCAACCTGCAGGACTCCAACGGACGAGGCCTGCAGCCAGACAATGGGTACAGAGCCATCCGGAAACATGCCACTCTGAAATTCCCCCCAAGGCGCTGGCACCTTGTGTGTGTCCCGGTGTGTTGGGACACGCCCCCCCAACCCCCCACCTGTCACTTACCAGGGGTGGCAGTGGAGGGGGCACGTCGCTCTGGGGGCGGGCCTTCCTGGGGCCCTCCGCCTTCTGGCTGACCTGCCTTTTACTGCTCAGCAGCCCCATCCTGTGGAGAGCACAGAGCAGAGCAAGGTGAGGCCCCGGCCTCCGGCCTCTGCACCCGGGCTCTTCCTCCAGGCGGGACTGGAGGGTGGAGGCAGGGGCCAGCCAAGACTTGGGCATCACCAAGTGGATGAAGGAGTGGGGTGAGCTGGAGAGTGACATGCATTCTCTTTCTCGGTGGCAGCCCAGAGAAGAGAAATGCTCGGGCCTGACACAGCCCAAAGCTGCTGGCGTGGCTCTCAGGACCCCGGGGCACAGGCTCCTGGCAGAGCGGCGCACAGATTCTGAAGGGGCGTGCGCACCAGGTCCGTGACCTGCACTGTCATCTCATTTTGCCCCTGGCCAACTGTGTCACAGGAAAGTTGTGTGGGCACCGGGCTCCTGCGATGAAGGGGAGAGTTTGTTAGAACATGTGATACTAGACACGTAGGGCAGACGGACAGATCACACAAGATTGGAGGCCAACGACAGCTTTCCAGGAAAAAAAAAAAAAAAACAAGGTCAAGTTTGTTCTTCACAAACTTGAGTATGACCCCAGAGACCACACCATGAACTCCACCCATCCTTGCCGCCTGGGACCAGGAGCGGAAATAGCTGGTGCCAGCTAGTGAGTGCTGGCACAGAATCCCTGCTAGAGCCCCCCTAACGGGAGCCCACCCCTTCCCAGGCTCACATCCCACCAGCCCGACACTGTGGACCTTCCTCAGACTGGAAGAGCCCAAGGCACGCCTCTCTGAGGTGTGTCCTGAGTGTGTCTGCACCTTTTCCACATCTCTGGAACCAGGAGAGAGGGGTGTGTGTGTGTGTGTGTGTGTGTGTGTGTGTGTGTTCCTAGGTCTACAGGCTCTAGGACTGGGGCATAGTGCCTGAGCTTTTTATGCAAAAGGCTAGTGCTCTTACCACTTGAGCCATAGCTCCATTTCTGTGGGTTTTTTTTTCCTGATTAGTTGGAGATAAGTCTCACGGATGTATCCTGCCTGGGTTGGCTTTGAACTGCGATCCTCAGATCCTCCTGAGTAGCTAGGATTACAAGGCATATCTCGGGGTAGCATAATGCTGAAGACTGACCTGAAATACGTTTCTAGCGTCTGGTGTCAGGTAAGCCAGGCTGACCTAGGTTCAACCCGCCCCACTGCTGGACACGCAGGGGCCGGTGATGGCTCCTCGGATGCCGTGTTCTTTTGTTCCCTTGGTCGTAAGCACCAGGCTGTGTCAGCACAGTGAAGTACTCAGAGCCGGAAGGGACTCTGCTCCCTCGGTTAGCTAAATGGGCGGATGTATGTCTAAGTGCCGGCAAGTCAAGGAAGGCAAAATGACCGGCAGAGGAGGTTGTGTGCTCAGCAAGAAGAAGTCAATGACCTGGTAGCAACACCAGCAGAGGCAGGAAGGAAGGCGAAGGTGTAACTATAAGCCCTCACATACTCATCACCCACAGTGACGACGCTAACGTTTTCGCACAGTGTCCGAGACAAATTACAAACGTGTCCTCTCGCCTCCCCATACATCGCACACGTCTCTAGATCACGTGACTGCCACGTTGCTGTGTCCTGCCTAAGAGGATCGGCCAGACAAAGTCGCTGCGTGGTCAGAACCCACCGGCATCTCACACAGGCCTCTTGCTTGGTGGGTGTTTTTTTCCTCCTCTGCTTGGGATTCAAACGAGGTTCACACACCATTCCTGATGGCAGGCCTCCAACCGGACAGAGTCCTGTCTCCACGTGGGCTGGTTTCATGTCAGCGTCTAGAAAGCAGTCCTCTAGAACGTGTGCCACTTGGCTTCTTCACAGTGGTTCCCTCGCTGTCCCTCCTCCTCCCTCTGTGTTCATCACTGGGTCGGTGCCCCGGGCTGCATCAGCCCTGGCGCCTCTCCTTCCTTAGGCCGGGATGTTTTGTAGGAGTCATGTGAGCGTAACGCGGTGTGGCTTTAGTGATGCTAAGACACATGCAGATCCAGGGAGTCCCCAGCCCGATGGCGAGACACTGGCTGGCTTGTAGGGAGTGTGGGATGGAGTCATTCAGGCACCATGATGAAAGCCTTGTGTAGCACTTTAGAAGCCGCCGGTGCCCAGCTGGCGTCCACCCCAGCACACACAGGCCCAGCCTTAGCTCCCGGGAGACTAGCAAGGGCCTGATGGAGACACGCGGCTCTGTCCTTGCATGTCAGGGCCACTGCGCAAGTGTTCTCCCCAAGCCGACAGCCATGACCTACGGCCCTTGGCAACTCTGGGGAGCAGACACCCCTGTGGCTAATCCAGTGTGATAAACCAAACGTATTTCTGGGGTGGAAATTCTCTCCCCTCCTCTCCCCCCCACTGCGGTGAGGGCAATAGAAATGATTTTCAGACGATAAGAAGTTTGAGGTTCTGAGCAGAGTTCAGGAAGGAAGATGCTGTTCCTGCACAGCTGCGCTGGGTGTGTCCCCCCCCCCCCAGCTGCCTGCGTGCAGTTCCACAGCCGGCAAGCCTGAAATGTGCCAGGCAATTACGGGGGTAATAAAATCCCCTGTCTTTTTTTGGTGGGGAGAATACTGTAGATGTGTATATTTTTAAAAGTCCTCAGGCCCATGTCTGTAATCCAGCTACTTGGGGAGGCTGAGATCATGGTGTGATGTCAGCTCAGGAAAAACACTTGTGAGATGTATCACAATCCATAAGCCAGGCATGGTAGTTACACCTATTATCTTAGCTATGAGGAAGGCCATGGGCAGAGGATAGCCACAGGCAAAAATACCTGAAAAAAGCCAAGCCAAAGGCTCATCTGCCTACCCAACATTAGAACCCCAGAGCTAGAAGAAAAATGCATCCTTACAATAGCGACACCTCAGATCTAGGGTCACACTCAGCGTCACACTCATAGTGTCACACTCAGATAGCAATACAGCTATTTGTGTATTTTGTATTGATAGAACAAGACCTAACCTTTCCAGTGTTTTTACATTGTTTTCATTTTAAACACTAGGTGAGAAACTCACTCATGGACTCATTACTTTGGTGGAGTTAGCGTGTGCTGTGGGGCTTGAACTCTAGGTCGGGGCACTCTCCCTGAGCCTTTGTGCTCAAGGATGGCATTCTACCACTTGAGCCATGGCTCCACTTCTGACTTTTTGGTGGTTAAAAGTCTCAAGGACTTTCCTAGCTGGCTTTGAACTACCGTCCTCAGATCTCAGCCTCCTGAGTAACTAGGATTATAGGTTTTCCATTTGGCCTTGCTTGTGGAGTAGGTATTGTAAAACCCACTGAAGGACAGTCCTGCAGACCCTGGAAATTCTTTTCTCCCACGCACTCAAATAATCCTCTTATAAGGAAAATGAATTTCTTCTCTCCTCCATACAAGTGTTCATTATTTCTGAAGGGTTTTTTTTTTGACAAGAGGAAGTACCCTTTCTTCTGTGATAACCAGCATCACCGTGGTACTTTCCAAGGGTTTTTTTTTTTTACTCCTCCCCCTCTCCCCGTCCTCCCCTCTTCTCTGCTCCTCCCACCTCCTTCTACTTCTTCCCTCACTCTTCTTCCTCTGAAATAACCAGAAAAGGACATTATTGCAAATTAAAAAGATGACTGAGAAGTAATTAGCTTGTCTCGGTTGTTTGCTAGTGATGTGGAATATAAGTCAGTATAGAGTCAACAGAGATCCTAGACAACAAAATGGACATGAAAGCGGGGCTTGGTCGGGCAGCAGGACTGTGCGTGTCAGCACAGCTTGGGCCATGCAGTGAGACCTTGCCCCCAAACCAAACCAAACCAGCAATATCACCTCCAATAACACCATGAGTCCCTACACCCAGGCACACACTCAGGTCTACATCTAATGAAATATGCACCAGGTCTATTTAAAGAAAATTACACATCCTTGATAAAAGAAAAGGTCACAAGGCTCCCTATTATAAAAAGTAAGTTCTCTCAACTTGATAAAAAGATTCAGCATGTTATTTTATGAATGTTAACAAACCAGTTCTGGCATCTCTGTGCAGAGACAAAAGCCATAGAGGAGCCAAGAAGAGAACCGAGGGGGACTGTTAGGGATGGACTCTACTTCAAGACTTTCTCTAAAGCTACAAAGTGGTGTGGCCTGACCACTGGAACAAAACAGAGCCCCGAAATGACCTTCAACAAAGATCATTCAGCTCAACAGAAGGTGGAGAGTCTTGTCCAGAACTGTGATAGAAAACAACACCTGAACTCCTGCATGCAAAAGCTCAAGGGGCTCCAGACGCAGGACACATGTCCCTCACACTTCAGTTTGAAGTGAACCATGGGACCAAATATAAAATGTAAAACTAAGATAACTCAGGAGCCATTTAGGTGCCCTTTAAATGACTCTTTACATATATGAGCAGCCGTACAACCCAGGAACGCAAAGGAAATTGGTAAGTAGACTTTCTATTTACCAAAGAGAAATGAAAATGCATGACCTCAGTCAGCCTTGCTCTCAGTAAGTTTTCCTCAGAGTCGTTCCCAACTGGGAACCACAGAAGTGTGTGTGAGGTGGTGAGTGGGTTGGAGCAATTGTGGTTGTGATAGATTACTGGCACCTCCAGCGACACGGTGAGCTTCAGAAGTGCTGTGCATGCAGAAGAAGCCGAATGCCACCCCCCACACAGCAGAGAAGTCCGAGGGTGAAATACTAGACGGGCAGAGCGCAGTAACAAAGGAGGGTTGATGTGGGGAGGGGCTGAGCTGGAAGGGGCGCAGGCAGGCGAGGATGGAGCACTCTGATGCCCAGCCTGCATCTTTCATCTGCAACAGAGATGTTCATATTCATATTTATTAGAATTTTTGCTGGGTGCTATGGAGGACCTGCAAAATGTCTCAGACTTTTCTGTCCAGGCTGACTTCAAACTGGAATCCTCAGACCTTCTTGGCCTCCTGAGGAGCTGGGATCACAGACGTGAGCCACCAGCTCCCGGCTGTGAGGAATCTCATGCAGGCTAATTCTAAGTTTCTGTGGATGAGAAATGGATCCGGAACAGCGAAGATACCACAGAGAACAAGAGACACCTCCATC